GTCCTGTCTCCCCCTCCTCCCGTCCCCCCTCACCTCCTCCCATCCCACCTCACCTCCTCCTGTGCCCTCACCTCCTCGTGTCCCTTCAATTTCTCCTGTCCTCCCCTTCTTGTCCCATCCCCCTTCCTCCTGTCCCTCCTCACCTCCTCCTATCTCCCCTCACCTCCTCCTGTCCTCCTACCCTTGTCCCGTCTCCCACTCCTCCCGTCCCCCCTCACCTCCTCCCATCCCCCCTCACCTCCTCCCATCCCCCTTCACCTCCTCCTGTCCCTTCATTTCCTCATGTCCTCCCCACCTCCTCCCATCCCCTCACCTCTTCTCATCCCCCCTCACCTCCTCCTGTCCCTTCACTTCCTCCTTTCCCCTCCTTGTTCTGTCCCCCCCTCCTCCCGTGCCCCCTCACCTCCTCCCATCCCACCTCATCTCCTCCTGTGCCCTCACCTCCTCCTGTCCCTTCACTTCCTCCTGTCCTCCCCCCTTGTCCTGTCTCCCTCTCCTCCCATCCTCCCTCACCTCCTCCCGTCCCCTCACCTCCTCCCTTCCTTCCCACCTCCTCCCTTCCTCCCCACCTCCTCCTGTCGCCCCAACCTCCTCCCATCGCCTCACCTCCTCCCGTCCCCTGACCTCCTCCCGTCCCCTCACCTGCTCCCTTCCTCCCCACCTCCTCCTGTCTCCCCAACCTCCTCCCATCCCCTCACCTCCTCCCGTCCCCTCACCTCCTTCCGTCCCCTCACCTCCTCCCGTCCCCTCACCTCCTCCCTTCCTCCCCACCTCCTCCTGTCCCCTCACCTCCTCCTCACCTCCTCCCGTTCTCCTCACCTCCTCCTGTTCTCCCTTACCTCCCTGTCCCCCCACCTCCTCCTGTACCCCCTCACCCCCTTCTGGACCTCCTCTCTAGAGTACCTCCTGCATCTCATGCTCTGTAGAGCCCTCGCTAGCTCTCACAGAGGGCATGGCTTTCATTCCTCCTACCACCTGTGTGGGTATCTGTCTCTCATCTAAGTAGTGAGCTCCCTGAGGAGGAAGGGACCAAACCCCAGGCCTTTCTGTCCTTGAAGTCCGCCAGCATGTGCCACCTCCCTGGGCTGGGTCTAGCAGAGCAGAGGCCCCTGCTTGTGGGGCCCAGGAGCTTCACTGCCCCATGCGCCATCGCAGCCTCGTCACAAAGGCACCCTCGGGGCCCCTGGTGCCATCTGTGGTTCTGAGGCCATAGTGTGCTCCCCCATGACTTACTGATGCCTGTGGGGCTGCACCCCTTGCTTATGAGGACAGTCCACAAACGAGATGGACCCAACTGCAGCCTCGTGGACGCTGCCTCCTAAGCAGTCCATCTGGGAGTGCAGACTCTCCCGCCTCCTTGATTCTCAAGCCACTGTCTCACTCCCAAGGTTGTCTTCCTGGAGAAGCGGGTGTCAGAGCTGGAGAAGGACACGGTTGCCAACGGGGAGCAGCACAGCCGGCTGAGGCAGGAGAACCTCCAGCTGGTGCACAGGTGAGCACGTGGCAGCGAGGCCTCCTGGTGCTGTGGTGCGTGACCCTGCCCCTTCTCATTCTCTTCACCTCACAAGGCGGGGTCCCTGCTGCCACACAGAGGTCTGGCTCTCACCTGGAGCTGCCTCTCCATCCAGCTGCTGGGAGCCCACTTGGGATGGTGCCAGGTGGCCTTCTGAGCGTGTACTTGGTGCTCTGCCCCGCACGCACAGGGCCCCAGAGGAAAGGGGGAGGCCAGCACCCACACCGCGCGCGTGGAGCGCCTGGCAGAAGCGTGGGCTCCGGCGCAGCAGAGGTCGCGTAGGGAAAGGTGCGCTGGGATCCTGCTGTGGGGGCCTCCAACTTGTGCCCCCACTCTGAGAGGCCGTCCTGAGGAAACAGTCCCAACACTGCTCTTTCCTCGATGGGTGTGTTCGCTTGGACAGCGGCTGTGCTCAGCTCACTGCACTTCCATCGTCTCGTTTCATCTTGACGACCTCCCTGAGAGGCAGGCGCTGCTTCTGTGCCATCTTACAGAGGAGCAAACTGAGGCTCGGGGGCTTAGGTGATTCCCCAGGGCCTCAGAGACAGCAACTGGGGGCTTTAATGGGGGACCAGTGTCTCCAGAGCTCCCTGCCCTTGGGAGCTGGACCCATCCTTGAAGCGAGAAAGGAGTGGGCTGCTGAGTACAAGACGGGCCGCGCAGTCTCATTCTGACTTGGCGAGAGCGCTAAGGCAGAGAGAATGGATGCACGAAAGGGGGAGAATGTTTGCACAGAGAGAGTGGGCCGCTTTCCCCACTCCTGTTTGGTAGACGTTTCGTGGAATACCATGATCTTCGACATCTTGAAAGCAGTCATGTCGCGTAGCCTCGCGCCCAGTTTGCAGTGATATCTTCTTGTACAGAGTAGGGCATGCTTGGCAGGAGCGGCAGCTCTCCAGGCCGTGCCCGCGTGCAGCTGGGTGCTGGGGGGGCACAAACAGCCTTGTAGGGACGAGGCCGTGGGGAGGCCCGAGGGGTGTGAGAGAGGCGTGAAGCACGTGTGTGTGGGATCTACGCAAGAGGTTCTGTCCTGGTCAGGCTGCCGGGGCCCAAGCCTGGCTCTGCCACACACCCCATGACCTCAGGCCAGGTCCGCGCCCCATGTAGCCTCAGTTTCTCACCCACGACCCGAGCAGGTGGACTTCGAGCGCTCTGAACCGCACCGGACCCAGGCCTGTACACACTCAGATGGTAATCACGTCGTGATGAGGCCTGCACACACACACGCGCGGTACTCACGTCGTAACCCAGGCCCACACACACTCACATGGTGCTTGCATCGTGACCCAGATCCAGACCCAGACACACACACACACACGGTACTCGCGTTGTGACCAGGCCTGCACACACACACACACTCGGTACTCGCGTTGTGACCAGGTCCACACACACACACACTTGGTACTCGCGTCGTGACCAGGCCCGCACGTGCACACACACGGTATTCGCATTGTGACCAGGCCTGCACGCGTGCGTGCACACACGGTACTTGCGTCGTGACCCAGGCCCACACACAGACACACGGTACTCGCGTCGTGACCAGGCCCGCGCGCACGCACACACACACACAGAGCACTCGAGTTGTGACCAGGCCTGCACACAGTCACAGGGTACTCACGTTGTGACCAGGCCCGCACACACACTCACATGGTACTTGCGTCATGACCAGGCCATCGCAAGGCTCCCGGGGATGCCTGACTCCTGCGTGACATTCCCGTCCCGGGCGGTATTGACCTCCCCAGCTGTCCCGCAGTGTCAGAAGGTCAGTCTGCTCTGTGGATGCTGAGAATTGGGATGCCTCCTCTTACTGTGGGCAGGGCTGGCACATGGCTGTAACAATATAAACAAGTACCCTCGTACTTGTTTATACCAAGTAGTCGCAGTCAAGACCCTGGGCATGGTGGTAGCCTGCCCCCTGGTCTTCATGGGAGGGCCTGCCCGGCCCTGCTGCAGAGCGGGGTGGTCAGCCATGTTCACAGAGGGGCTCGGGCTCCAGCTGCACTAAGCATCCGCCGCATCCGCGGAGATGACATTACCCCCCTCACTGTCCTCGTCCAGGGAACCTGGTGGGTCACCAGCCCTTCTCAAGCTGACAGTGAGGTTTGTCCGGCGTGACGGGATTCATCAGTTACGCATGGACATGGTGGACAGGCCCCCTCGGGGCCTCACCCTGCCTGCAGCCAGTTCCCAGCCCCCGGGAGCCACGTCCAGCTCCTGTGGATGTTTCCTCTGCTGCCTGCCCAAGTTCTCCTCAACTACATGCTTCTGCTGCTGTTCTAGATGTTTCCATTTTTAATACCGTCAGCCTACGCCAGCCCTGCTGCACAGCTGTTCTCCTTTGCCCACCATCCTAGGAATCCCACACACTTTCTCTGTGTTGGGTTTCTTATTTTCTGGATCCCACGTTTTCTTCTTTTTTTGCTTACTCATTTTCTGAGGAGAATACCCCGATCCCTGCCCAGAAGAGAGGGTACACAGGAGACAGCTCTTGGAGACCTGGTGTGTCTGAAAATGTGTGTTGTCCCCCACGGGTGACAGTGTGGCTGGGGGTGTGGCATTCTGGTTGAAGGCGAGCCCCGTGCCTCTGAACCGTGCTGCCACCGGGGGCTGCAGCCTTATTCTCACCTTGGACACAGGTCTCTCAGTGTTTCCTGTGCTGGGCACATGGTTTCCAAGCTTTCAGTCTGGAAAACGTGTCCCTCGGCTTCAGGAAGATTTCTAGAATTATTCCTCTATACAGTTTCTTCCATTTTCTTGCCTGTCTGAACTTGTGTTAATCAAACATTAGATCCTTGAGGCCTTTCTCTCACTTTCTTTACTTCTCTGTTCTCTAACTCCATCTTTTTTCTTTTTTTATGTAATATCCTTGGTTTTCTCCTTCACCTCTTCTGTTGAGTTTCACATTCTTTCTTCTCGTAGTTGTAGCTTCTGAGGGTTCCTTGCAGAGCATCGCTCCTGTCTCGTGGGTGTGGGCCTCGCTCTGCGGGGTCAGTAACGCGGTTCTCCCTGCGCTCCTCTCCTGCATGACCTGTTTCCTTGGAGGGAAGAGCTCTCCTGTGGTGTCTGGTGGTCTCTGGCCGTCCATTCACTCTCAAGTGTGAGGCTCCAAAGAGCAGATGAGAGGCCCTGTGTGCACGGACAGCTCGGGACCATGGGCTGTGCTGGCCACGGCAGGGCCTGGAGCCCTTCTCTTTGGCATGGTCACTTTCTGTCTCCTGCAGGCAGGTGTGCTGGTCTGGGAAGGGGCTGGAGTCAGGGCCCCCATGTGAGCATTCCCTTTGTCCCGTGTCCTTGCTGACACCTGCCCTTACCTCTGCCATGGGTGACCTGGGTGCAGCTGCTCTGTACACCAGGTCCCCAGCCTGGAGTGTCAGTGTAGGGTCCCCGGGGTGGGCACCTGGTCAGCTTGTGTCCACACACAGTGAGCAGGTGGTAACTGTGGGTGCAGGCCGTGATGTGATGAGCCTCCGTCTGAGGACGTGGATACTGTCCTTGCCGTCACGACTGTGTGTTTCTGAAGCCCCTGGCACCCTCGGTGTGGGGGGGCGGGGGCTGTGGGGGGGGGGTGCGTCCCCTGCTTCAGAACTGCCCTGGACCAGAGCTGCGGGTGGGAAGTCTCTGTCCTTCCTGTCTCTCCTCCAGGGAGGGCAGGCTCTCTGGAGGTCCTTGATGCAGGTTCAGGCGCTGGTGGGAAGGGCAGACGGTCTCTCACCTCCTGCCCTTTGCCTCTGCAGAGCCAATGCCCTTGAGGAGCAGCTGAAGGAGCAGGAGCTGAGAGCCTGCGAGATGGTCCTGGAGGAGACGCGGAGGCAGAAGGACCTCCTGTGCAAGATGGAGAGAGAGAAGAGCATCGAGATCGAGAACCTGCAGGCCAGGTAGGGCAAGGCCGCCGCGACTTTCCAGAACAGTCAGCGAGAAAACACGATGGACGCTTTCGTAACAACAGCCCCACCCACCACCGGAAGGTACAACGTCTAGGAGTAAATCTGATTTGAGAAAAAGTGGAAAATCCCTGTGAAGAAAACTGTAAAACTCTATTAGAGGCCACAAAAGATGTGAATTCAAAGACTTATGATACGCGGATGTCCGTTTCTCTAAACCTCTCTCTAGCCTGTGTCATCCCAATCGAATTGTCTGTCTTTTTAAGGCAACTTGACAAGATTGCCTTTACGCTCACCTGGAGGCATAAGCCTTCAATGAGTCAGGAAAGGAGGGGAGAGCAAGGGGATGGGAGGCTCTCTGTGTAAAACATGCCACGCAGGCACCAGCGTGTGCTGCTCGCGCAACAGCATTTCCAACCTGGACGTAGGGTGGAGGGCGGTGGACTGTCCAGTTACACCTGCAGGCGAGTGTCCTGAAAAGAAGACCCGCAGATGATGTGACTGTCGTTGGCAGAGAAATGGTCAAAGGTCATCTGCAAGTTCCCACCCGTCATCCCCTGAGCCCCTCTGAGTGGGGGTGAGGGAGGGGCACTTCACAGAGCCTTTTTAGCTGAGCTGCACCACTGCTGGAATTCAGAGGGCAGTTTCATGTCCGTGAAGGAGGACTCTAGGTTCTGAATCTCGTGCTCCTCCCCGTTCTCAAAGCTGAAAGATACACTCGACTTGATCCAAGAAGAGCTCCTGGGCATTTTCAGAAGTGGGATGGCAGGAGGGGCTGCACGCAGAGCGGTGCCAGGGTCACCCTGGACGGGGAGGCCACCTCGCTTGCAGGTGCAGTGGGGTTTCGCCACCTGGGATAGCCAGGCCCAGACAGCCAGGACAGCAGGTCAACCCCTTGTGGTGGGCAGTAAGGGGCACTGCAGAGTCAGGGGATGTGAGGACAGCTGGATTATGGAAGGAACCAGGGCTCCTGAAAAAGGGGCTGAGGCTGTGGCTGGGACAGGGCAAAACCCAACGGAGCCTGGAGCGTCCTGTGGCACCAGAAAGAGGGAAGTGCTTGAGCACACAGTGACGGGGCAGGTCACAGGGATGCAGGAGACCAGCAGAAAGAACCACCAGAGTAAGTGAGAGCGCTGGACCATAACCTGAAGTGTAAATGTGATGACTGATAAATAAATGGGGAGAAGATGCAATTCTTCCTTACAGAGGAATTCCAAATAATACACGGAGATGCTCCCTCTGGGGGGTGACAGTGAGTCCTCCTGTTCCCTGGAGTGTGGGCTGGATTTGGTGTCTGGCTTCCAGACAACAGAATGGATGGGAAAAGTAGAACTTGAGGGGGTCAGCCCGGTGGCATAGTGGTTAAGTTCACGTGCTCCACTTCAGAGGCCCGGGGTTCACGGGTTCAGATCCTGGGTGTGGATCTACACACTGCTCATCAAGCCATGCTGTGGGCAGCATCCCACATACAAAGTAGAGGAAGATCGGCCCAGACGTTAGCTCAGGGCCAGTGTTCCTCAGCAAAAAGAAAGAGAAGTAGTGGGGCCGGCCTGGTAGCTTAGCCGTTAAGTTCGCGCCTTCTGCTTCGGCAGCCTGGTGTTTGCTGGTTCGGATCCTGGGTGTGGACCTACTCACTGCTCATCAAGCCATGCCTTCTCTGTGGGCGGCGTCCCACATAGAAGAACTACAGCTCTACAACTGTGACACACAGCTATGTACTGGGGCTTTGGGGAGAAAAAAAAAAGAAGAGGAAGATTGGCGACAGATGTTAGCGCAGGGCCAGTCTTCCTCAAAAAAAAAAAATCATCTCTTTAAAAAAAAAAAGTAGAACTTGACAGAGGAGACACCTGGCAGACAGACCTTGACCAGGTGATCCGGGTCAGCATGACCCGGGATGAGTCTTGTGGACTCGGGTGCCCCTGATGTGGTGATGAGAAGCATCTCACTGTGGGATTCTTCCCAAACCTACAACCCGCCTGATCATGAGGAAACAGCAGACAAACCTGATTCATGGACACTCTACCAAATACAGGACCAGAACTGCTCAATATGGTCGAGGCCATGAACAACCAGGAGAGTCTGGGAGACTGCCACAGTCCAGAGGGGACAAGGAGATGTGACGACTGAGTGCACTGTGGTCCCGGGAGGGATCTGGACGGAGGGGGCCTCGGGGGAAAGGCCGAGTGGAGTCTGTGGTTTGGTGACTGGTGTGTCCCATGTGGGTGTGTGGGCCGTGACGAACACACCAGAGGAGCAGATGCCACAAGGGGAAGCCAAGAGGGGCCGGGGTCCACAGGGACCCTGCACCATGTCTGCAGCATTTCTGTAAACCTAAAATTACCCCAAACCCAAGTGCATAAGGCCGGGCCATGGGCATTGGGGGGTGGCCTCTGTGCATCCCCAGGTGGCCTCTAGTGAGGTTTCCCAGATGCTGGGCCTCTCTTGCCCTGAGGAGGTGTAGTTCCTGGGGAGCAGGTCCCAGCCTTGTTCTGTGTCCTAGGCTGCAGCAGCTGGATGAGGAGAACAGCGAGCTGAGGTCCTGCACACCCTGTCTGAAGGCCAACATCGAACGCCTGGAGGAGGTGAGCTGCCAGCCAGGAGCTCTGAGCGGTGGGCCAGGCCCTGCACTGCGGGGGCGCTGAGGTCAGCCAGCCAGTTCAAGGGCTTTCCGCCACCCTCTGCACCTGACGCCTGTTGGGGGATTGGGATGTGCCGAGAGAGGGTCTTCAAAGTGGGGCAGCCACACAACTGGCCGATGAGTCTGCAGGGGTGCAGCTGGTGCTGCTCCAAAGAGCGAGCTGATGACACTGGGCCCCACTGGGCCCCATGTCTGAGGGAACAGGGGAGCTTGGGCCAGCTGCCCTTCGCTGGAAGGCGTTGGACCCTGCCTGGCTTCCCAGCTTTCCCACAGACGTGGGATCCTTGGGCCCAGAGGTTCACGCTTATGTTAACCCATGCTCTGAATCCAAGGATGATGTCCTTGAAGGGCCAACTTCAGCAGGACCTCTCGTGCCCTGTTCTGCAGACGTTCACTGAGGGTCCTCTCCTCCCCCATCCTCCCGTCCCTACTATGTGTCCCCGGGGAAGCTCTGAACCCCGAAGACATCCAAGACTGCTTGGGCTCCAGCTCCTCTGAGTGACTCCAGCTGAGCGGCTGCGGGTTGGGTCCGGCTCTCATAGGTCCTTCCTTCCCTGCCTCCCCGAGAAATAGTCCCTGTGGCTTGCAGGACACCCCACACAGAGCACCCTAGGCCCACCTGCCGCGTGGGAGCAGGCGCAGGCCCTGAGAGCACTGTGCCCACATGTGCCACCTTGGCCGTGACAGGAAGGTCAGACACAGCCCCGTGGATGGCAGTGGACTGAGACGGTCAGGGCAGGGACAGCTGAGGAAAGCTGTGGACGGGGGCAGGTGAAGTGTGTCCAGGGCGAGTGTTTCATTCTTGCAGGAGAAGCAAAAGCTGCTGGATGAGATAGAGGAGTTGTCGCTGCGGCTCAGCGACGAGCAGGAGAACAGGAGGAAGCTGGGGGACAGGCTGAGTCACGAGAGGCACCAGTTCCAGAGGGACAAGGAGGCGACCCAGGAGGTGAGCACGGCGCCCTGCTGTCCTGCAGCCAGCTCCCGCAGCAGGGGCGGGACCCGCAACCCTGGGCCCCTGGAGTGAGCTGGGGACCCACGGCCATGCCCCTTGTGTCCCGAGACCGCTTTTAACTGTGTCGTGCTAGGCACGGGTGCCGGGCACATGGTGGCGTCTGGAAGTGTGGTGTCATCATCCTCCCTAGAAATGGCCTCCAGACCCCCTGAGGTCCTGAAGCTGAGGGCTGGGCTAACGCTCGCTGCCCCCGGAGCCCTGCTCACCCTGCGCTTGCCCGCAGCTGATCGAGGATCTGCGCAAGCAGCTGGAGCACCTGCAGCTCTTCAAGCTGGAGGCAGAGCAGAGGCGGGGCCGCAGCAGCAGCACAGGCCTGCAGGAGTACCACAGCCGCACGCGGGAGAGTGAGCTGGAGCAGGAGGTCCGCCGGCTGAAGCAGGTGCGGACGGGTGGACACCCCACAGCCCTGCAGAAGCTCTCAGGGGCCGGCCTGGGGAGAGGGGCATGCCAAGGGCCTGAGCCGGAGGTCCTCCCTCTGCAGGCTCAGTTGCCCCTGGGGCCACAGCCCCAGGAGTGACGCTGTCATTTCCCTGCAGGACAACCGTAACCTGAAGGAGCAGAATGACGAGCTCAATGGGCAGATCATAAACCTGAGCATCCAGGGCGCCAAGAACCTCTTCTCCACGTCCTTCTCTGAGTCCCTGGCTGCAGAGATCAGCTCGGTCTCCCGTGACGAGGTAACATGCCCCCGCCGGGCCCGGCCACCTACAGACGCCCACAGTCTGGATGCCCGGCACTGACCCCTTGCTCTTCCCACAGCTCATGGAGGCGATTCAGAAGCAGGAGGAGATCAACTTTCGCCTGCAGGACTACATTGACAGGATCATCGTGGCCATCATGGAGACCAACCCGTCTATCCTGGAGGTCAAGTAGAGGCAGGAGGGCCAGCCTAGGCTGGATTCAGGACTCTACCAACACCCCGGAGATGGCCCCAGCACACACGGCTGAGACCGACAGGCCCCACGCAGACCCAGCCCAGAGCACGCAGCTGGGCTGGGGCACAGAGATGGGTCTGCAAAAGGGGCCCGGGGACTGGAGCCCACAGCAGGTGTGGGCGGGTGGGGCCTGCTCTCGGCTCTCGCCTTCCGCTGCCCCCTCCTCTCTGTGCAGAGATGTGGGGACGGTTTCTCAGGCTGCGGTGAGCTCCCTCCCTTGTGGCAGACCCTCCCGCTGTCCCACCCTGTCAGGGAAGAAAGGAAGCAAACGGGTCCCCACGGGGCTGCTGCCACCTACACACAGGCACCCTGACCTGGTGCCGCCTGAGCCTCGGCCATACTTGGATGGCGTAGAGGCCCCAGCACCTTGCTCCAGACGTGGTGGTGTGGGAAGCACAGGTGGGCGAGGTCAGTGCACGTCAGGGTCTGGCCGGGAGCTGCAGGCCCCCCAGCTTTCCTGGGGCCGTGTCTCACTGGCACTGATCTGTGTCTCCGTGAGCTGCTCAGGCCATCACCCAGCCAGAAGGGGCACCTGTGTCCAGCGTCACGTCCAGGGGACTCTAGGCCACGTGTCTGTTCCCACAGCCAGACCCCTGCAGCACTGATCCTCAGGGGCTGACTCTCTTGTGGGGGCTGGGGCAGGAGTCCCCACTCTGAAATCAGGACTTGAGAGTAACTGTGTGGAGCGCGCTGTGTGGACGGGTGCATGTTACTGGCCCCCTCTCGGGGTGCAGGCAAGGCCTGGCGAGGTGCTGCCGCCCCATGGGTGTGGCCTTCCTGGCCTCCTGGAGTCCTCCCCTCCCTGGAGAGATCTGGGTTTCCGAGGCCAGAGTCCAATGTCTGGAAGCACGTTTCCTTTGGGTGTTGGCAGTCATGAGAAGTCGTCGTCCTTCCTTGAGGTGCATTTTGCAAGAGGCAGGGCAGGGCAGGCTCTCCAAGTGCACAGATCAAGAACAGAGAACAAGGCCTTCCCGCGGTGTGGGACTCCTTTGGGGAAGCCCTGCCCAGCGCCTGCACCACAGGAGCAGCAGTGCCTCCTCCACAGCTGCTGGGCCTGCCCCCTGAGCCTGAGCACGGCCAGGCGCCTCCGGGTGCTCTGGGTGGGCCGAGACCCCGCACACAGACTGGCTACTGCTGCGTGCGGGTCGTGTATGTGTGCGTGAGTGAGCGCGTGTGTGCAGGCGTGTGTGGCCCACCTTCTACACCAAGATGTAAGACATTGCCTCGGATTGTACATTTTGGGGAAAGCCTGGGGTGTAAATCAGTGTAAACTTGAGGAGAGATTTTTCTATCATGTAGAGTAGGTATTTTTTATAGATTGAAGGTTGATCAATTTTTTAATACTTCCAAGAGAGAAAACTATCGGTGTATACACATGAAATATATATATATGTCTGATCATAAATCGCAAGACTCTGCTTTCCGCACCCAGCCCGCCCTGACAGCCGGGGCTGTCTCTGCATCCCTCGGGGTGCGTTGTTGTGAGTACCAATTGCGGGGAGAATTGTTCACACAGACACCCAGCACTGACCTCATGCTGACCCTGTCTTCATCCCCTCCAGAAAGACTCTTCCAGGCAGAGCGACAGTGGCCCCGATGTGGAGGGCGAGGCCAGGGTGGTCTCCCCACAGACTGAAGCTGTGGCTGCACACGCAGAGGCTGGCTCCTTCCTCTGCAGGCGACAAGGGGCAGGAGGTGGTGCCGTGGGTCTGGCCCAGCACCCCCAGGCATTTGGGGGGTGGGGACCAAGTGCCATCTGAGGTCAGACACCAGGAGACCTGGTCAGGCCGACCCCTCCCGGCCTCGGTGTGAGCCCCCCGGAGGCCCTGGGATGGCACCTCTAGGCTGGGCTCCCAACAGAGGGTGACCAAGGGGCACTCCTGGGGCGGGGCCACATGGTGGGGCTCCAGCAGCCGTGTGTTCATGGTAGGACACATGGTAGGCCAGCTGGGCCCAGAGGGCAGCATCCCAAGTCTGGGCCTCATCATGAACAAGATGGTTCCATGGGATGTGCAGTCAGGGATGAAGGAAGGGCCCCACACAGAGCAACCCAGATGAAGGCACAGAAAAGGCAAGGGACCCAGGGATTGGGCTTCAAGGGCGGGGGCGGGGAGCAGAGCTCAGGTGCCACCACAGGCCATTGCCACCAAGAAGGTTGTAAGGGTGAGTGACCAGATCTGATTTGAAGGGGGGGTTGTTAGCTGAAAGTCTCCAAAACTTGACCCCCCCAGCCACCCTGGCATCCGGAGAAGCGGCTAACTGAGCATCGCCTGCCTCCCTCGCACTGAGCCACCTGCGCGCCAGACACAGACGGGGAAATCGAGGCCCAGGGAGGCTGAGAACCCCGCACCGACCACCCCGCCTGGCAGACAGAGCTTTAGCCCAGGTCTGCTGCCCACGGGGCTGACAACCCAAGGGCGGTGATGAGTGAACACGGCCTGGCCTGCACCAAGCAGGGCCCCCAGGCCTCGCCCTCAGCTGGGGTGTGGCAGAAGGATCAGCCCGGGAGCCTTGGACGCTACTGGGTAGCACTGAGGAGGACTAGGGGTATGGCCATGTCCAAGATGGAGTTCCTGCCCTGAGCCCCCTCCCCACTAGGACTCCCCGGGGCGGGGGGGTGGGGGTGGGCGCCACTGCACGTGGAACCTGGCAGGCCCCCTGTGCTCCTGGTGCTCAGAGCGGGTAGCACCTCAAAGAGGCTGGCAACACCCTCTTGTTATCAGGTCCATTCGCGCGACTTGCACCCAGCCACCTTCAGGGCCCAGTCCTTACCAGGTGGGACCTGCAGGCCCCGTGGCCAGAGAGGGCAGCATGGTGCTGGGGCCTGGGTGCCGGCTTCAGCCCCCAGCTCCTGGGGGGCTCTGCGCAGAGGGCCCGTTCAGCACTGGGGGGCGCCAAAGCTCTGCCACGGGTTCACAAGGTCAGTGGGGATCTGGGAGGGCCTTGTCCCCAGCCCAGCTGCACTGAGGGAGCCTCTGCTTCGATGCCTGCCCTCCCACCTGCTCTGCGCCTGTCCATCTGTAGCCTACGGGACCCATCTCTGCCCAAGAGGAGGAGCTGCAAGTGGGCAGGGCGGCTCCCACAGGGAGGGGGCTGCCAGCCCCTCTGCTTCATTTCCACTCTTAAACATGTGGGGGGTGGTCCACTGTCCAGTCGGCCCCACCAGCAGCTGATGCTGAGATCCCTGCCTGGGCCCCCCAGAGGTCCCCAGCCCAAAGGGGAGGCAGTCACCCACACATGATGAGAACCCACTGTAAATGGAAATGGCCGTGCCCGGCTGCCGCCCAGGAAGGGCTGCCTGGAGAGGGCAGGGTGGGAGGGGGCCCAGGGAGCGTGCTGGAGGGCACTGCGGTGGGACCCGTGAGGACAGTGTCGAGGCCTGCGCCCCCCAGGCATGAGTGCGTCCCTCTACCCCAACCCTGAAACAGCCTGGCCAGAGGCCCCCCAAGGCGGATCCTGTCTCAGGCTGGCTCCTAATGTTGCTGGAGAGCCGCTGCTTGAACTTGCTTGGTTTTGGTCAATTCCACGTTTCTGAAAAAGCACAGAGCAAGGCTCTGCCCCTCCCCTGGAAGAAGGCCGCTGGCAGGTAGGCGTATGGCCGGCCCCTGGTTCCTCCACCTGTCCTGTATGTACTGCCCAGCCTCAGCTCAGGCCTGCTCCAGCCTGTACACGCTAAAGGAAAGGTGCCCGTCTACACTCCCAGCCCAGCTGCCCCAGCGCCTGTACCGTCCATCTGCTGGTGGTTCAGAACCCAGGAGGCAGAGGCCCAGAGAAGAGCCCTTTCTTTTACCTGTGAGGGCGTCTGCTCTCTTTTCTGACCCAGGCACGGGGGTTCACAAAGCGGGCGATTATGGGCCATTCCATAAAATCAGCCAGAGCACAGGTGTGTCCTGCCCTCAGCCCCCCTGCTGGTCTTGGCTCCTGCGTGCCTGTCACACCAGTGAGGGTCCCTGTGCCCTCATCCCACTGGAATCTCTGCTCCAGAGGGCATGCGGGTAGGTCTTGTCCACTGCTGTGTCCCAAAGCCAAGAACAGCGTGGGCGTGAGGGAGATTTGCACGGGGATGCTGGAACCGGTGCCCCCCGCCCCTCGCACGGGACTCTTCCCGCGTGGCCGCACGACCCCTTCTCCTTCACTTGGGGCAGCTATCTCCTGCCTCTTTAGCTGTGAGGGGTTGTGTCATCATCCAGAACGGCGCTGGCCGACGGTCTGGATGGTCGAAAGTCATTTACCTTCTGCTTTATGATGATTTAAATGTACGTCTGTGTGCCCCAGAATATTTAAGAGGACCCCAGGTGGACTCCAGATGCATCCCTTGTCTTGCTGCTCTGATCCTTCTCCTCCTGCCACCAGCCGCACACAGAACCTGTTCCTTCTAGCTCCCTCTTCCGACAGGGAGCAGCCTTGAAACTCTTCCTAAGGCCTCTTCTGCTGACTAGCCTTTCTCGCGCACGACAGGCCTTGGCCCCTTACTGGGGAGAGCTGGGGTGCTCCTGCTCTCTCCTTGCCTGTGTAGGGCCTGGCTCTGCAAAACTCGGCAGTGAGCAGGCAGGAACCTCGGCCATCAGGTCACCAGGCTCAACTTCAGCTCTCTGATCGGGAGGTTACAGGGCTGTGGACACTAGTCCTGACAACCACCGCAGGCAGTGTGCAGGGAAAGGGGCTGGGGAGGGAAGGGGACCTGTGGTCATTGAGTCCCCACTGGGAGCAGCCCTTGATTCCCTCGTCTTGTGATTCCACAGCCACATATGGTCAGAGACTGCTAGTTGTCACCTTTATGCAGTTGGGGGTGGGTCCAGTCACTCTACACCCTGTGTCTGCACAGGCAGCTGGTGGCCCGAGCAAAGGAAGCAGCTCTCTTGGCTGCAGCTAAAGCCCAAGCCACTAAGTGAGGACACAGGTGTCCCTGCTGCAGCCTCTGGAGAGTAAGATGGAGGTTTTCCTGGGGCTTCAGTGTTGTCCCAGGAACAGAACCCTGCCCTGTAGGTCTTACTGAGGTCCGCTTAGACTTTCTGGGCACTGGGGCAAACGTGCAACCTCCCACCTGTACAATTCCACTTGATCTCAGGCAGAACTGGACAACCAAAACACTCTCCCCAGATCTCTCTCAGCGGACGGGCCTTGCTTCTGCGTCTCCTTCTTCTGCGTGGCCCCCACGTGCCCCCGAATGCCCGAGTCCTTGGCTCTGCCCTCAGCATCCCCGCGTCCCACTCTGCAGCCTCTCTGTGCGGCGGATAAACCGCCAACACCCAAGGGCATTTGGGCGACAGAGGGCAGAGGGGCCTGGAAGAGGGTCTACCCGCCAGTCTGGCGGCTGCCGAGAGGGAACGTCGAGGGAGGGACTGAGCCAAGGAGGCTCTGCATGATCGGGGCAGGTCTGCTCCGAGGCCCCTGAGGAGCTCCTTTCCTCGGGGCTGGGCTGAGCCTCCGTGAACTGTGTCTCACTCCGTCCCCCAACGGCCCGGTTAGACGCCGGTTCCCCTCGTTGACCGAGGCGGGAACTGAGGCCCAGGGCAGGGACGTACCCAAGCCACACTCAAGGCCGAGTCCGAGACCCGGCTCGGTCCCCAAGACTGGACTCCAGACCAGGAAGCCCTCGACGAGAACCGATGACGCAGACAGGCTGCAGAGGGGCCTGGGCGGAGCTAAGGGGTCTGTGGCCGCGCGGACCCAGCGCTCGTCCAGGAACCGTGCCGGCCAGGAGGACCCCAAACTCTGCCCGTCCAACCCCGCGCTCGGCACGCAGGGGCAGCCGGAAGCGCCCAGATCGGGGCGGACGTGGAGGCCCCGCCCCCTCCTCCGCGCAGGGCACTCTGGGAGCTGTAGTCCCAGTCCCATCCGCGGCGCAGCCTCTCTCCGCTCCGCGCCAAACCTGGCACGTAGCGCCGCCCGGGGCTCGGGGCTCGGCCATCTCCAGCGGCGCCGGCGGGCAGGGCGGCCCGGGGAGTCGGCAGGACCCTGGAGGGCGCCAGCCGTGACTGCTGTTGGCCGCTACCCCGAGGACTACAGCTCCCGGCGTGCCTCGCGCGCAGGGCCGCCGCGAGCTTCCGGCCCGACGGTGCCGCGCGGCCCTATGGGAACCGTAGTCCGCGCGCGCGATTCACAGCGCCGAGTGCGCCCCGGGCGCGCCGTAGCCGCGGGGTCCCGGCCTGGCGCTACGCTACGGAGGCGGCGTAGGGCAGGCGCCGGACGCGGGCGGGGCCGGGCCGGGCCGGGCGGGTCGGGTGCTTGGCGGCTCCGTCACTCAGCGCGGGAGGCCGTCGGGGCAGAGGCCGGTGGCAGGAGGGGCGCCCGCCCGCCCTCCGGAGGCAGAAGTTGTGGCTCGGCCGGCGCAGGCGAGCGGGCCCGGGGCCGCGCGGGCCGCGGGGACGGAGGAGGCGCTGCCAGGTGCGGAGGTGAGTCCCGCCGGCCGGGCGGGCTGAGGCCGGAGCGCGGGCCTGGCGGGCAGCGCCTCTCGCCGCCAGGTCCCGCCGGCCTCGGAGCCGGGATCAGCCTGCTGCCCCGCCGGCGCCTCCGGCATTGGCCGGAGACCGGGCTGGGCTGGGGGCGCAGCCTGGAGGTGACCGGCGGGGCCTTGGGTCTTCGGGTCCCTGGGAGACCAGCCCGGTGCTGCGAACGCAGGGGGCGGCCTCGGCCCCTGTCTGCCCTTGAGCGCCCTTACTCCGGGCGGCGTCCTGGTCCGGCTGCGTTAGGGGATGTGCCGGCGGTGCCCGCCTGCCTCCACCACCGCGGGGCTCGGGGCTCTGCCTGAGACGGCCCACGGAGGGGGCAGCGCAGGCGCCTGTGCCCACTGGCCACCCCACTTCCTCTTCCCTGTGCCTCTTTGCGCTGGCGCCACGCGGGGAAGTTACAGAGGGTGGCCCCTGGGAACGTTTGCCAGGCTGCTGGGCGGCTCAGTTCTTCCTGCCGGCCGCAAAAGGGGCCCTTCTGGTCCTGACCCGGGAACCCTTATTGTGTGATCAAGCGGCCCGGACTGGGCTGGCTCTCGGGGCCTCCTTAACGCACAGGAGTTTGTGACCAGACTGCAGGTAACAGGACCCGTGTGAGAACAGGCCTGGGAGTTTGGGGTCCTGCAACTTGAAGTCGTCGTGTCCTGTGGGGAAAACTGGGACTCAGCTGGGTGCTCCTCCTGAGAGCCCCTCCCTGGACCCAGGTCTGGAGGGCTGTGTGAGTCACAGCGAAGTGTGGGGAACGCCCGGAATGACCCTTGGTCCCCAGAGCCTGGGTGGGGGGAGGAGGTGGGGTAATTCCATCCTTCCACTTCTGAGCGACTTTCTCAAATGTGAAGAGAGATAGTGTTTCCCTGGCCCACGTCGCAGAAAGAGGGCCCCAGACCATCAGGGGACCCCAGGAGCCACTGCTCTGCAGCGTGGCTGTGGATGTGGGTCTTGCAGGAAGCCAGCTCGGCCTGGCCTTGGGGCTGGGCACAGGAACACTCCTCTTCGCCTGTCCCTTCTGCATCCGAAAGTCTCTGGAACTGCTTCTCCTGAGCACACAGGCCCGTGACCTCCTGAGAGCCAGGTTTAAGCCCCGCTGGGCCCAAGGCTCAGTGCCTGCATGTCTTTAGGCAGGGACCCCCAGTCTCGGATCTTGTGTCGCTGCTCTGAGCCTGCAGACTACGGGCTCTGTGAGCAGGAAGTGATCCTCTAATCCTGCATCCGCATAGGAGCCTGCGCCCCGCCATGCGGGCGGCTCCGAGGCGCTCTGCCCTTCACCAGGGAGGCCAGGCTTGGCTTGCTTCATGGTGTAACGTCTGCTGAAGCTGCTCGCAGGCCCTGCGCGACCTCTCGGGGCCCCCATCTCGCGGGCAGCTCTCTGGATACCGATGCTGAGGGGAAGCAGTTGCTGGTCAGGGAGGGTGGAGGGGCTGCACATCCAGGTCTCTGACCCTCGAGGCTGCCTTTTTGCCTCATTTTCCTTCCACCGTCTCCTGTGTTTGTCTTCCATACATGGTAGTTGGAAAGAAGGGCTCTGCTGCCCTAAAAATCTTTGAAAACCACAGATGTCGTTCAGGGGCCAAGCTGGTCAGTGAAGGGCCCAAAGCGGGCAGCCAATCTGCCCCCAATCTGGTCTGGCCTGTCCTGGGCGTGCCACCTCCACCCACCATGCCAGGCGTGGAAGGGTGCTGGAAGGGCAAATGATATAGTTAAATGGAAACAGTTTGGGCTCTTTGAAAACCACGGCCACAGAACCCAGGAAACACTGGTGGCTGGTCAGTCAACCACTGTCTTGGGCTGCTGCTTTGCCCTGGACTGTGTGGCGGAAAAGAGATTCCCTAGGTCAGAGCTGGGAGAGGCCGGGGGCCCAGCCCCCTAGCACTGAGGCTCCATGCCCGCAGGGTGTACAGCGGGGTCTGGGGTCAGCCCACCGGTCCCTCCTCTCCTGCCTGGACCGCCTTGCTGCCCTGTCTTTCTGGTCCACATTGCAACCCGTTGCCCTTTGGCACCCAGTACCACAGGAGTTTCCCGAAGAAGGCACATGGGCACGTCTCTCTCCTCTAACTCCTCCGCCAAATTTCTCTGCATGGACGCAGGTCCCCCCCCTTCCCGCTGTGCTGAAAATGCCTGGGAGGTGTGTGCCAGGCTCTGATATCATCCCCTCAGGCCCCATCCGTGGCTCTCCCTTGGCACCTAGCACCGGCCATCCACACCAAGTAGGTGGTCAGTGAGTGACCTGTCAGCTGCTCGCCGGCAGGCAGCTCTGGTCACCCCAGCTCTGGAGTCTGAGAGGAACTCCCAGGCAGCCAGAAGGGCACCTGCAGCCTCTTGGGGGTTGAGGAGGGGACTTGCTGGCCTCCACCTTCTTTGAGTGAGCTGCAAGGAGACTGGATTGAGGTTGGGCTGCCTCCACCTCTCAGCCTTGGAGACCCGCCCAGCCAAGCCCTGTCACCCTGTGGGTCTGGGCAGGGGTTCTGCAGATGGCTGCGTTGGTGACACCAGGACAGGGCCTGCTGCTGGACCGCGAGGGTGCAGGGAGCTGGGGGCTGTGGGAGGACGGAGGAGTGTCCTAGCCCACCACAGAGACCCCCAGAGGAGCAGCCTGTGGCCTCCTGATGCCTGCAGGAGGAGCGCTCAGGAAGTCATTGGCGCGGGAGCACCAGGGGTAGGATTCACGCGAGACGAGTAGACCGCACACGTGCATCGGTCTCACTGCCTTGTCCTGGCAGATGCAGTCATGCTTTGGCAGCTGTTCCAGGGCCTGCTCTCTCTGGCTTCCCCGAGGTCGAGGGGGAGCTCTGAGGGCTGTATCCCTACCTCCCTGGTGGCCGGGCTAGGGGCTGTGCATGGATGGTGCTGCAAGATACCGGGAGGATGATAGGTCTGTAGTTGCTGTATGGAAGCCTCAGGGCGTGGAAGGCGTCATCTCGGCTTCCTGCTCCTCCAGCATCGTCGCAGCCCAGACCTGCAGGAGAGGGACTTCCTCCTGTGCCCATTCCCCTCCACAGCGACACTGCTCGAAAAAGTTGCCCTTTGGAATAAATTCACACAGGCAGGTTGGGCCTCTAGGACCTTCTGCCCCCCCGTCCCCCCTGCAGTGTCACAGGAAAGGAGCGGGTTCTGGAGCCCCTGCCATCCCCGCAGAGAGGCCCTAGCGCGTGCAGCCAGCGCCCGTGTGGCAGCTACACGACTCGTTTTGGGGTGAGCTGAAAGCTCCAGGGCCCACATGCCCCTGTGAGACCCGCTGTGCTGCCTGTGAGGCCGGAAGTTTCCAGCTGCCCGGGCCAGGGCTGCTCCCGCCGCCACTTGGCAAACAGAAATACGAAAGTGCCAAGAAACGAGAGTGCTCGTCTGGGACCTTTTCTTTCCTGTTAAAAGCAGTGTTTAATGTTGAACAAGATTGAACTTGTGAACTGGAAACTGCAGTCCTGAGAGCGTCCATTTCCCTGACGGGACCGTGTGCGAAGCGATTTTCCTTTCTCACGACGTACGAAGTGTGTGCGACTCCAGAGACATGCGGGGACACCCAGTGACCCAGTCCCCTCCTTAGAGGCAGCCCCCGGACCGCATGTGCTCGTCCCCCAGCCTCCCAGCGTGAGCTGCCCCCGTGTGGGTTTGCTTTGAGACACCCGTCTCCTTCCCTTCCACCCAGGAAGCAGGTGCTCGGAGAGTCCAACGAGTCCGGTCCGCAGCCATTGTTCACCTGTGACCAGGATCTGTGGGCGTCTCCGAGGTCCTCTGAGTGGCCAAGGGCACAAGGGGCTGAGCCTCAGGGTGGAGGTCCTGCCTTCTGTCCAGAGCTGGCGGCTAGGGCCTTCAGGGACTGATAACAGAGATGTCCAGAAATGCCAGCAAGAGCCACTGGCCGCCGTGGAGCACGTTCGGGTGGAACGGGCAGGCGCGTTTCTTCCCGAGTTTGCCAACAGGAAGTGCTGGTTATGCCTCCGGAGCCCACAGCTTTTCCCTGGGCCCGGCTCCTGGAGCATTCACGGTTATTTCAGCAGAGGCTCCGCAGTGTTGTGACAGGTGCACTGCTGTGGGGCCTGGGCCCTGTGGGCAGGGGTCTCTGGCCCCAGGGTTCACCTGAGGGCGATGGTGCGCGAGTGGAAGAGGCCACAGTGAGCTGGGGGCCTGGGAAGGCCGGGGGCGTTGGGGGGGTGCATGCCCCTCCCCACGACGGTCAGTGTGTGCTGAGGAAAGCAAAGTCACCAGCTTTTGGGGCGGTGGCCCCCTTGGCTGTTGGAGTGGCTGGGTGTTGCCACAACCTGGGTCCAGGTGAATCTTAACGGCGGCCTGGCTGCTTGCCCGCAGCCCTGCCCCACCTGGCACCTCTCTGCGGGGCCCATACATGGGCAGAGCCTGGCTGAGGGAGGCCCTGTTCCCTGGGGCCTGGATCTTGAACAGCCACATCTGCCGCTGGCTGGCCCAGGGGTGGCCGGGGGCCTTGGACCAGGCAGCAAGCAGCCGGCTGAGCCACGCTGCACACCTGGGGCCTCTGGCCTCCTCTGGGTGAGGGACAGATGCGGCTTCTAAAGGGATGTAGTCCCTGGGCCACCTCCCATGGGAGCTTTCCCAGGGTGACGGAGGGTCGTTCCTCATACAGGCCCGCGTGTGTGGAGGTGGGACGGCCCTCTGTGTGGCCCTGGCCTAGCGGTGGGGGGCAGAGCTCTACCCCAGGGCCACAGATGGCCATCCAGCCTGGACCGCATGACTGGTCGGCTCCGCTCTCCCGTGGACTCTGGCTCCTGCCGATAAGCCTGGGCACTGGGTCTCCTGTTCCAGAGCCAGAGTCCAGGACCTTCGGGAGAGGAGGCATTCTTTCTGGGCAGATGTGCTGTTGGCAAAACTGCTCTGCCACTGAGCTTGCCTCCCATGGCGCAGACTCACGCACCAGCGTGGAGGGAGCTCAGGCACCTCAGGGTAAGTCCCTTCCCGAGTGTGGTAGGCTCGTTTGTGGAGTGGCTATAGGAGTGCGGCATGGGCACCCCCTCTCTCTGCGGGCCTGGCCTCTCCTTAGAACCGCCCTGAGACCTGCCGCCTGGACCCGGGACTGACAGCCTGGTTCTCACGGCCTTGCGTCTGAGGCTTGGGGCCATGGTCCTGTCATTCGGGGCGCACTGCAAGCAGACGTGTTTGCCATTCCTTTGGTGTCCCCCTAGATGGGATCCCCACGTGCCCAGTGGCCCATTCCCTGACTCTGCGCCCTGCTGTCCTCCCACCTTGAGGGGGACGGGCCAGTGAGCGGCTGATGTGGGCACCTGACTCCTCGAGAGATGGGGTGGCTATGGGACAGTGCTGTCCTGCCAGCCCTGGG